GAGGGGTGACCCCCGCCCCAGGGCATCGCTCGCCGGCTGCAGCACCGCACCAGCGTCTCTCCCGCCCGCCGCTGTCGTACAGGAGTAATTGCCCCGAACCCAGCCGGCATCATGCCTGCGTACACCGAGCTGAAGGCTTACACGCTGTAAAAGGAAGGAACAGAACAGGAGGCATACACCATTTAAAAATGGTGTACTCCTTTAATACACCTCCTCCAACAGAAAGGAGGAATACACCATTTAAAAAAAAATAAACGCAAATGGAATAAATAGGAAGTGTGGTTCCAGATTTAGCATCTCAAAATACAGTGGGAAGTCTTGAATCATACTGCAACGGTACTGCACAAAGTAGGAATGTATGCTCTGTTTCCATTAAAACATTTTAAAGAGGTGATATGGAAAGTTATTTTAGGTAAAAGCCACCAGTATAACTTTTTAAGGAAAGGCAGGAGAGAAATGAATTTTAAACAGTCCAGAAGTAGTCGTAGCACACAACTTAAGAACAGCTCATAGGAACCTCAACAGTAAAGGAGCAAGGAGAAGGGGATATGAAGCCTCAGGACACCCAGATCCCTCCCCAAACTTCTGCAGCTGCAGGGAGGGGTCATGCTTTCCACTTTTCAAGGACATATAAATAATCAAACTTGAAAGTCTCCTGAAAACAGGACAGGATCAGCTTGGCATGGTGATGGCCTCACAAGTACAAGGACGCTCCCCTACTTCAGAACAAAAAACTGACACTGATGCCACAGTGCAAACTTTTCAAATCCTTGCAGTCATCACAGCATTTATCTTGCCATTTCTTCCAGCTTCTCATTTAAAACATCCCTCAAATCAAAACAAGGAGACACTTCCAAGACTAGAGGTTGGCAATCCCAGGCACGTATGTTTTAAAAACCCATTAACTCATCCCGAGTTCACTTTTAGCCATTGATTCAAAGCATCAGGAAAAAAAAATAAATCAGGTAATTGTCAGTGTATTTGCTCATTTTTAAATGCTAGAGAGCCACAGACAATTACAAACTCTACACCACAATTAAAGGCCCCAACAAGCCAATCATCCTTTCATGAGTTGTTTTATCCTCTGCCAGTGTTTTAAATCTAATAAAGACCAAAAGGACTGCAGTCACCTCCTTGATCCTGCTG